ACACCCATCCTGATCGTTTCAATTAAGTTGAATACAGAATATTCATATTTGTCAGTGATTTCATGTCAATTCGGCGAACATAAACATAAATGATCGTGGTGAAGATGATGATTAAATTAGGATTCAAAATCGGGAGAGCCGGCTGCGTGCAACATAGGGGGGTGGGGGCTGGTGAACGGTGTGGTCAATGTTTGTAAACACTGTGACATTTTGACTTTACTTGATCATTTCAGTTAAAAACTAACGTTCATATTTCTCTTTTTGAGAAGAGAAATATTAATATGTTAGTGGCTGACTATGGTCTGTCACAGTAGTGCGGGAAAGAGAAGTGCACTGTTTTGCCTGGCTGGACCTGTAATTTATAGGAAAGGAGTGCACGCTACTAAAGAGACACGCTACCATGGAAACCAAACAATGGTGTTGCTGTATTGAAGTCCGAGTGGAAACAGTCATATTTGGAGCGTTATGTTAGAATGAAACAGCCAGGTCGTGACTCACAAAAAAAAAGTGTTACTTCACTAACTGTAAGCTTGTCACTCAGAGTAACCTACAGTTATCTTAACTGTTGGAAAAGAAAGATCAGGGGGGGGAGAGAGCTGTGGCTGATGGGCCATTAGGTGTGTAAACACACAGCTGAGAGCTGCCGTTTCATTCTGACTGTTTAAAAAACGGTAACAACGGATTATTTTTCTTAGCGGATGCATGTCAATTTAAATCAATACATACAACTCTTTTTTAAATCAATAAAAACATTTTCTAAATCCATAAAAGCATTTCAATTAATATTGGGAGTCATGTCGTTACTTTGTTGAGAATGTGGCCATGTAATAAGCGGGATAATTTGCAGCGACTTGGTCATTATGGGGAAAAATAACACCACGCGTCCGGATCTTGATCTGCCTGACAAGGTGATAAATATTTTTAGTGAATTACTGAGTTTAGGCACGTTAATAACATTTTAATGAAGTTGAATACAGTATATTCATATTTGTCAGTGATTTCATGTCAATTCGGCGAACATAAACATAAATGATCGTGGTGAAGATGATGATTAAATTAGGATTCTAAATTCTAAATTAAAATAAATTAAATTCTTACCTCCGCCTACAAAAAACCCATTACTTATAGTGAAAACCAACCTTGGATGATAGGTTAGTAGACTAAAAGCTTTAGGAATCCAAATTACAACATATAATAAGTACCCTGTATCAAGATTGATGCAAAACAAGTGACATTTGAGAGAGATTTATAAAAATAAAAATAATATGAAATCTCCGTTTTTTACATAAAAATGCAATGATGGATTATCAGTAATCCTTTCAAAGTGACACAGACACATTGGATTAACCTATGGATTAACCTTCAGCGGTGTTTTTATCATTTTAATGCCATTGAACACAACTTTTATTCTAATTTGAGACGATTTCCTGTGAATGTTCCGTAATTCACGTGTTGTGACGTCTGTGTTTGCTTCCCCTGTCACGAGTTCTGATCGCTCAGTGATGATATTTATACCTATAGAATCTGTGGAATCTCAGCTTTAATTTGATATCTTGTTTTTGCAGTTACGATAAGTAATAAGGGTATTTTTACCTTGAGTTCTGTGGTAAGTGTGTTAGCATTTTTTCGCTCAGGGCTCATTTAGACGCTTCTTGTGAGACTTGTGTTTTGTTTCGGTAAAAATGGTTCGTATTGTCAGTTAGCTGAGTTTCTTCCCGTTAAATGGGTATGACACATTAATAGGTTTGTAAATATTAAGAAGCCCTGGGACACAGTTTCGTGAAAAAACACCCCACTGCCCCCTGTACAGGGGGCTCTAGGGCTTAACAGGTTAAACACTTAATCCAGGAGCAGGGGCGGACTGGCCATCTGTGTGTTCGGGATTTAAATGGCATCATGTAAATTGCGCTGACAGGCGACAGAGGTCCACAGTTTCCCCGCAGCGAGGCTCCCCCTGCCCTCCTGTTGACAGTTCACGAGTGTCGAGCTCTCCGCTCTTCCCCCCCCCCGTTGACAGTTCACAAGTTGTGCTCTACCAATTTGTCTGGGCTGGGCTGGGTCAGAGTCCAGGGCTGATTTTCGGTCCCAGTCCGCCCTTGGATACAAGCCACATAATTTCACCTGCAAGGTGAATACAGAACAGCTGGAACAAAACAAAAAAAACGACCGAGTGTTTGAATGCGTAACAGTTTTATGATATCACTGACACAAGTGGATTTGACTTTAATTACATTTGACTCAAGTGTTTCGTCAACTTAAAGGGGACCTATCATGCAAAATGCACTTTTGTATGTCTTTTATACATGAATATGTGTCCCCGGTGTTCCAGGGAACTCACCAAGTGTCAGAAAACACAACCCTCTCTATTTTCCTCCATACCCAAATCTCTAAAAAAGGGGCTGCAACGGATCTGATAAAAACAGATTTGAACACGTTACTGACGTCAGGACGGTGGCGCTACGGCTATTGGGCCAACTCTCCACCTATCAGGGGAATGTGGGGTTGGGCCACGGCCGGCCATTGCCGCTCGAAAGCGCTGGAGACGCTGTAGTACATATGCCAGGCCTGTAAGGGGCGCTGTAGTCTGCCACAAAAGCAGCGAAGAAGACTTCCCGTGCATGGTTGCCATGGTTACCCTTCTGTTTATTCTCCGCTGTGGCTTTTTTTCTCCCTCCCCGAGGCAAGCGTTTGCTCCCGCTGCTGTAATTCAATGCAATCCCTCCCCGTCGAGGCAAGCACTGTAATTCTCTCCGGTTAGTCCACCAGCAGATGACAAAAACCCACCTCTTCGCCTCTTCCAAGGAACGAGGGGACTGTGCGGCAGAGTTTCAGTTAGATTTTTTTTCGCCGGTCAACATGTCCGTTAAAGTTTAAATCTTCCGGACAAAATTAGAAAAGTGCCGGTCAAAGGTCTTCTTTGTTATTTATTGAGCTTTAAAACAAATGAATAATGACTCTATATAATCGTGTAAGAATAAAACGGAGATCTCTTTTTCCCCCCCTCTTCTGACTTGATCAGGAAATGCACGCAAATACAATCTTTTATATTATTATTATTATTATTATTAATAATATATATAAATAAATTGATTAATGTTGTCAACATTGGACCTTGACACTGTCCACATAGCTATAGTGAAATATTATAATAGAAAACATTAAGCCTCTTTGATTTAATAATCTGAGCTGAATCCTCTCTGCCATCTCATATAACACCAGAGATGGGGTCGTTACTAAAAAAAAGTTATATATTACATATTACATATTACTTTAAAAAAAAGTAATATATTACACTACTTCGTTACTCTCTACATAAAGTAACTCGTTACTTTACTCGTTACTTTACTCGTTACTTTACTAGCAGGGCCGGCCAGCCCCTCCCTGCAGGCAGATCACGCAGACTGCTAAAGTTTCAAATGTTCTCTTTAGTTCAGTTTCCATTGTCGCATAAGACTGATCCAGATAGCTCTGACCATGGCTGTCCTCTGTCTCCTGCTATCTGTATTTTGCGCAGTATATCTCTGAACGATGCGATGGTGATTCCACTGTGCAAATGGGCAACATTACCTCTACTATGAAGGATGCTACAAGCCTGTCCATCTCTGCTTTGGTTACCGGTCCTCCAAATTCTAATTTGTGCTGCTTCGGAATCGGTGGCGGCGCACTCACAACATCCTCACTCTGGGTTCGGGGGTCCTTAGCTATTAGCTTCACCTTAGCATGTGTTCTTTGCAGGTGTTTGTTGAGGTTTGACGTGGTGTTTACAGCAGTGGATAACAGCTTCTGGCCTGGACACAGTTTGCACCTCACCGTTACATTCCTGTCTATTCTTCGGACGAACTCAAAATAATGGGCATACCTCCACCCCTCGAAAGTTATCGCTGACTCAGCCATGTTTATGGAGCACTGCACGCGGAGATGTGGACGTGCAAGTCGCGCAGATTACGTACATATAAACCTGCGGCGGAAACCCCTCTTGTCTGTCAGTGTGATTATGACTGATTTTATAAAAGTAACGAAGTAACGCGTGTCGGGGCAATGTTAGTAACTGTAGTGTGATTACTGAATTATAAAAGTAACGCGTTACACTACTCCGTTACCGACAAAAGTAATATTATTACAGTAACGCGTTACACCCCAACTCTGTATAACACACACTTCCTTATTTATCTTTGAATAATAATAACATAAAAATAAAGACGACTATAATACGGTCCTTCGGTCCTGAGATTAGCGCCTGCAGGCAGGCTCCATGGACCTGTCAGCTCTGGACAGCGCAAAATGCGTATATGAAGTGCTACGTTATGAACGCAATAAATCATACCCTCGTGGGGGCACACTCATGTGATTAGAATGGGGAGGCTGTGGCGCAGTGGACTAGTGCGTTGGTGTTCGGATCAGGGGAGCACAAGATTCAAACCCCACTGCAGTCAGCATGTCGTTGTGTTCCTGGGCAAGACACTTCACCCCAAATTGTGGGGATTGTCCACAGTATTGAGTATGTAAGTCGCTTTGGATAAAAGCGTCTAACATGTAACATGTAATGTAATGTAATGGAGGAGACATCTGATTGGCTATAGATAGAACAAATTACAAGTATGAATCGGGTCACCAAACCCACACACGAATGCACAGCGATCCATGCACAGAAAGCGCGTTGTTCCAAAATACTTATGTAAAACTTTTTTCTGTATTTGGATTTAATTTACATGTATATGAAACAGAACACATGCGACACAACCCTCTGAACAAACATAAATTTGAGAAATTCAAACCAGCAACCAGTCACATGCTTCAGGATACTTGCTGCAGAGCTGACCTTCTAGGAAAGAGTTGGCATTCCCATGAGCAATGGAGGAAGTCTATGCCAATATTGACGATGTCAAAACCCTAAGCTCAAGATCATCAACAATACAAGAAGGTAAGAGTGTCAGTCAGAGAGCACTGTTGATTTTGGATTTACTGTATTACTCCCTGGTCTTCTCTGTGTTCAGGTCCTGGGACACTTCTCAGAGCGTCTGTTCTCGGTCTGGGGCTGCTGGGTGTTTTCCTGCTGGCTGGACTCATCGGCCTCGCTGTCCACTGTGAGTCTTTCTTTTAATACGTTTAATAATGTGCAATGAGCAATATTCTGCTCTGAAAGATGCACATTTGACCAAAACATCTATCGTTTTTCTACTTTTCTCCTAGGGCCAAATTAGGAAAACATTAATTTTGGTTTGTGTCAGTATGATTGCATCAAGTAATAAGAAACATCTATTTTCATTCCAGACCATAACTCAGATGGTGGTGCAGCTGCAGATCTCTCCGCTGTCAAAGCAGACCTCACCTCAGTGACTGAAGAGAGAAACAACCTGACTGAGCGTCTCCAGGCCAGAGATCAGCGGATCAAACGGCTGGAGTACAGGCTTCAGTGTTTGATGGGTAAGGGTCAGTGCTTCATGTGGGGGTTTGCATAGGGCTCGGTATGTGTAGGTAAGATATCAATTATCATAATATATTTTACAAAATACCTTGATATTGATATTCTAAGGCTGACCATTGATCCTTTCATAAAATAGTTACACAATGACATTTTTCATTAATGATAATCAAGAATTCGTTTTTAATGACTTAGTTGTGAGGGATTTAATTTATAGTTTGTTTTATTTTTCTTCACCCACCATATTTATATTTCTCTGTAAACTATGCTTATGGCCAGTTTCCTTGTCTAAATTACTTTTAATATAAGCAATAGGAAGAAGAACTTAGTGGTGGTTTGTTCCAGATATTTGCAGCATAATAATAATAATAATAATAATAATAATAATAATAATAATAATAATAATAATAATAATAATAATAATAATAATAATAATAATAATAATAATAATAATAAAGGATAACAAGGTTTCAAACCAATTTAGAACTTTTGCCGAAAGTCAGACCCAGTTTTCCAGTCGGTCTAGTAACTAACACCGAAATGTTGCCACTGTCTGTGTTTAAGTGGATGTCATTGAAGACTTTAACAAGATCAGTCTCAGTGCTGTGGTGCCTGACTAGATCACATCGAAACAGTTATTTCAATCCCAAAAAAGAGAAGTAGTTGTTTTGTAATGAAATGTGTGATCTCTTTTGATCCCTCTAAAAATGCTTAATACATATTTGTTTTCATTATTATTACAAAAGTGACATATAATGCACTCAAGAGTTCCATATTCCAGCAGTTGAAGCAGTAAATCAACAAGATCTTAAAACTTTTACAGAGAAAACGTGTCCTGAAGGATGGAAGATGTTCAGTTGTTCCTGTTATCTCCTCTCTCCTGAGAAACGTTCTTGGGAACAAAGCAGAGACAACTGCACAGCCGAAGGAGCAGATCTGGTGATCGTAGACAGTGAGGAAGAACAGGTAATGTGTGCTGCTTAAACACTTGTGATTGTATAACTCCTGCTTTTATCAATCAATCATGTTTTTATTGTACATATACCAGCAAATGTGTCTATCAGCTATAATGATTACGTCACAACAATGGTGTTAATTACATATTTCTGAGCTAGTAAAAAGGGAAAAGTTATCTGAATGTTGATGTCCATCCCAGTAAACTGCATTTTTAATATGTGAACAGGAATTAATCGCTAGCAAGATCAAGGAACCAACTTGGATTGGTTTGAATGACACAGAAGAGGAGGGGACCTGGAAATGGGTGGATGGATCTCCACTGAATCTGAATCTGACGTAAGGCTTTACTTTGGTTTTAAATAAAGACGCTGGTTTATGTTGTGACCTTTCTAAATGTTTCACATGTTTCTGTAATGGGAGTTAACACAACACACAGGATGCATTTAAACGTAGGATGTCTGTCCCTTTCACCAGAAGATTCATTTGGGTGTTAAGAAAAGAACATGGCTGTATTACTTATAGTTATTTGTATTTGATGTCCAATCTTTTAGTTCATCTTCTTTTCCTGTAATACCTGTTAGGTTTTGGAGCCCAGCACAGCCTGATAATTTTGACGAAGAGGACTGTGTAGAAATACGGAGTATTGATCACTCCCAAAGCTGGAACGACAGGCCCTGTGAGAACGATCTGCCTTGGATCTGTGAGAAAGAAGCTTGACATTCGTGTCTGTTTGGATACTAAACATGCAATCATGCTTTTACAATTGAGTTTAAATCGAGTTATTTAAAACTATACACAATGTCTGATTTCATGAATAAGAATTACTTTGCTCGAATTGATAAATAACATGTTTTTAGTGGGTTTTAAAAAAAAATAAAATCAGTTATAAATAAATAGTCATTTAATTAGTTTTGGCCAACTTTTGTTTGCCTCAATTAAATTAGTATTTGTATTCATCCTTTTACATATCAACAAAAAAACAGCTTATTAAAAACATCTGCTTATAAGCCCACAGTTCCTGAAAGTTATAATATTGAAGGTGCCTTATTGAGCAGAATATGATGCAAAAAATAAAAATAACAACTGTCAAACATTATTGAATAATTCAGACATATACAACAATACTCTAGTCTCAGCATTGGTCTTGTTCAAATGTGTAAAATAGCCTGTGTGTTTATACAGTATGTTTCCTAACAAGGACCTCTTGTGGCCATGTGACTACAAATCTATTGCAGGTATTTAACATTCATAGGTACCAGCCACTTTGTACATACTGTAAGAACTAGTGCTGTCAATTAATACAAAAATGTATGTATGTTTATCACAATAATAATCTGGGACTTAAACTGCAGGATTTGCTCATGATTCATTAAAAAAGTAAACTGCCTTTTATTTGAAGTTAATTACAGTACTTTAGTAAATGGGCAAATTAGATATAGCTAGATCAGGAAATTGAACTTTCGTTGAGCATGCATAGAAAGATAAAAACCGTAAAAAGATATTGTGGGTGTATTACATGTTCTCTGACAAGATAAAGCTCTTCCACTTCAACAAACTGCTGTTATCAGATAAAAAGCAGCTTTACCACTTCAACTTTTTTTCTCAAAGTGAACAACTCCTCCCTGAAAGTTATCTTTGAAATGATGTACACTTTTTATATTTATGATCAGCGGCAGACAGAGTAATTCAGAGGAAAGACATTTGTGTTTATCAGCATTTAAAATTAAGATCCCTGCTTTCACAACAGTGTCATGATATTCTCTTTGTATTAACCAGTAAGACAGATCTATACAGGATCAATACAATTTAGAATATTATTCATCTGTATGGCTTTGTAAGATGATATGTCTCTATTTAACACAATGGACTTGATTATCTCACTTGTTTCAGTCTTAAATATGTATTGTTAATGTGCTTTGGCAATAGTGTGTTTTAAATGTGGTTATGTCAATAAAGCTTATTTGAATTTGTCTTGACTCTCAGCGTGAGAAAAAAACAAACATTTCCTTATATCTTTGAGATAGATATATAGATAATTATCTGGTACAGTTGCTAGGACTACCTTTAGCACTTAAGAGGTGTGACGTATTGATGGTGTTTTGTTTTATCCTCTACGCTATTGCCATTTTCCCAGACATCAGACATCATATTTCAAACTATCTACATGAAAATATTTGATAGGGCTGTTTTTAAGACCTTGCAGCTCTGGGTCTTAGTAGACCCTAGGATCCATCCTCAGTTCCATGCATGGAAATTGTTGGACAGCTACCTGCTTGGTAACACAAATGGAAGTCGCACTCTTTTTTCTCTTTTTCTGTTGTCACATGTGTTATCATTATTTTGAGTTTACTTGTACAGGGTTACGTATGGATACACTGTTGGAAAATACAAGAAAGGAGATACAAATTATGTACACAGGTTTAGAAGCTCTACAAAGTGCATTTTTGAGAAGTGATTGGAGAACTAAAGGAGAGTTGTTACAACAGAATTTAAACTATAAACATTAATATCATTTCACTAATAGTTAATGGCCTAAGCAACCCAATTAAAAAAGTGCTTACACAACTGAAACATCAAGGTGGAGATATTGTATTTATGCAAGAACACATCTCTGTGTGTGTGTGTGTGTGTGTGTGTATGTGTGTGTGTGTGTGTATGTGTGTGTGTGTGTGTGTGTGTGTGTGTGTGTGTGCGTATGTGTGTGTGTATGTGTGTGTGTGTGTGTGTGTGTGTGTGTGTGTGTGTGTGTGTGTGTGTGTGTGTGTGTGTGAAACTTTTGTGTTTCTGCCCCTGCTATTCCCGCGCAAGGTTGCAACATGGTTGATCAATTCAGGCACCGACACCTGTCTGCTCTCACATTCCCGCATTATGTCAATCTTTATTTTTTTCCCACTCTATCCCAGCTGCAAATTTGGGGTGAGACACAATAAATAAAGCTTCGCCAGTTTGGGTCCTTATCACAACTGATTAAGATGGCCAAAAGATTCTCTGCTCAGAGGGCCTTGCAAATGATTTTGTAAGTGAGAGAACCATTTGATGATGATGTAGAGGAAGAGGAAGAGGTTTCAGAATGTGAGGATCACATTTCTGAGAATTCTGAGTCTGACAGTGACTTTGAAGAAGAGGATGAGATTGAGCATCAGCTAGTCACAAGTAGCACTTTAATTCGTTAATGTGATCTAACAAATGTAAAAGGGCAAATTTTAACCATAAATGATGTTTATATTACTTGTAATTGGGATGAAGTAAACATCTGTTGAGTATTTTAACGTAAAATTCTTTGATTGTTTTGAATTGAAACCCAAAAAGGCAGCAGGTCCACCAGACCCACGAACACTGGCTGAATAACAGCAATATGAACACCAGACAAGGGTTAAGGGGCTTTCCAGAAACTAAAGGCCCACTCTTGTCATAGTACACAGGAACAGAAATTGATGACATCCTGGGTTATGCTTCTACCTACATCATACGCTTGTGACGATTAGTAATGCACAATCATGCATTTGTCCGAGCCACAGATTGAAACAGAGAACAAGTTCACCCTTGGTATCATGAGTTCAACCAGAGGACAGGTGCATACAATGTCATACACAAGACTATAAGTAACAAGGAGCAACAGTCAACACATGATCATTTTCATTTTTCTCACCACATCTCCTCCCTTTTGATCACACATGATCACTTGAAAACAAAAAATTGTAGTATAAGGTTAAAGTTGGCGTATACTGTAGGTACCATGCATTACGACTCTTGATGGATTCAATGTTTGCATTTTGAGCTGTCTGTATGTCTGTGGTTTGAACTGGGCTGGATCTGCGTGCTCTTAGTTTGGGTACGTCCGTCTCATTATCTGAACTTGAATGTGTCCCATTCTCTGAACTCGAAAGTGTCCCAAGGTTTCGTGTCTCAAACCACAGCAATGGAAAAACGAACAGTAGAGCAACAGTATGGGCTCAGAACAGTCTCATAATACACACATGCACACAGAAGGATTCACACTTGTATTTCATGATCCGCAAAAAAAAACACCATAGGGCCAGGGCGGGCCCAGGCCCACCCAGTTTACACATTGGCCCGCCCTGAGAAAGCTTCGGTGTAATTTTTATTTATTTTTTAAATTTGTATTATTATACATTTTTGTATTCACCCATTGAGAATATCCAAGCATTCAAAGTGAAATTCAAGTGAACAAATATCGAGTTGAATTAATGTTGTATGTGTTTTATCCTCTGAACGGAACTCATTTCCGGTAAAAAGTGGTTGAGGTGGTTTGAAGATTTTCCCTGGGTGGAATACAGCGCAAGTAGGGACGCGCTTTTCTGCAAAATGTGCAGACATTTCCCCAGCCCAGGAGCTGAAGGTGCATTCACGAGGGATGGATATGTAGACTGGAAGCACCTGCGTAACTCGTTGGAGAGACATTAAAAAAGTGAGGACCACTAAGGCGCCGTTTACACGAGGAGAAAACTGCTTGTATCTGCATAGTTTCGCGTGCGTATAGCCCTATTATTTACACGAGGCCGATAGAAACTGACCCCACAAACGATAACGGGTCCCAAGGTGGATAGATTTGCAAACGAAACGCTCTGGGGGGTCAACCGAGTCCGTGTAATCACCTCTATACGAATATTTCCTGAAAAAATAGCGAAAAAAAAAAAAAAATAGCACCTCTCCTGCTCACTGCTGTAGCAACCATCAAAAATAGCTGTGTTAATTAAACGCACAAGGGGTTCTTGAATGAAATAATATTATAAAAGGCAAACCAGAATTGTTAACGCCCAATATACTCCTTAAACAAAATAAACAGAGTCAGATTTCATGCATTGATCCATTATATTGACAAAGGTGCATCTCACCCGGTGTTTGTAGAGAATATCTCTCTTTCTGAGCCGTCCTCTCGATGCAATATCC